CGGGTTGATTTCGGGTTTTGCTTGGATGTGATAAAGTCCTCGCTTGTGTAACGCAGTGAGGATAAGTTCCTCCTTTTGCCGAACTTCACAAGTGTTTGACCCTGCTGGAAAAAGTGATGCTAACCCCGTTTTGGACAATTTGTGGGCAGAAACGAGTGCTAAAGTGAAGTTTGGCACAACTAAGACATTTGACAGTACAATATTGTAGTCCTTTTTGCCAACAGTTGCTTGTAGGATTACTGTTCCAATGCCAATGGCATTTACAGAGGATTCATCCCCAAAACTGATTGTCCTTGGAGGATGCAGAACATGGTATGTTCCTGGCTCAAACCAGGAGTGGTGAGGGACCATATGGGATGTTGCTCCGGAGTCAATAATAATTGTTGTTTTGGTCTTATCGGGTTCTAACACAAGGTAAGCTTAAATGTGTTTAGCAAGGGGCTTGGAAATATGCACATGATCCAATGCAATATGACTTTGTTCCTCCTCGGAGTCAGATCTGGATGATTGCTCCGCTGTATTTTCCTTTCCCTTCTTCCTTTGACCTTTTTCAGCTGACTGAAGTGTTTAACACTCCGAGGTGTTGTGTGATTTGGCTTTGTGGAAGTTACACCATTTCTCCTCGGATTTGAGTGCTGATTCGGAACCTCCAGGGCCTTCCCTGACTGTCGTGCAACTTCTGCAGTGATCCGGATCTCAACTGCATCAAAGGTAAGTTTATTTTCTTCAATCATGTTGATTACTGATGACTGAAATATTTTTCACTCAGGAGTGCATGGGAGAGATTTGAGAAGAGCAAAAGCCATGAGTTTGGTATCAACTCCTAGTTTCATTCCGGAGAGGTGTGAATCAATTGTCCGGATTTTTGCAATGTGGTCCTGGATAGGTGATGTCCCATCCCAGGACAATTTGGTGAGTTGCTGGAATGAATAGAAGGCCGAGGCAATGTTGGACGTTTGATGGAGTGAGACAAGTTTATCAAATAACTCCTTGGAGCTGGTGAGGTCTCCAGTGCTCATTAAGAGGGCATCAGAGATGTGGTTCTGGATGATTCCATGTGCCTTCTCATCCTTAAGTATCCAGGTGATCTCAGGATTCTCTGAGGAGGTAGGGTTTCCTGGTGAGGGCTTAAGCTCCTCTCCAGTAACAACCCGGAGAACTTTTTCCCGACATAGCTTTGAGATGATCCGGAGTTTCCATATCTGAAAATTGTTGGGTCCAGTGAGAACTGGACATGCAGATGTATCGCATGCTGTGGTCATGGTTCTGAGGTTGCCGTTTCAAATAAGAATTATTTCCTGCGTACCTTTTGCGCACCAGCGCTCATAACCTAATAAACCTAAGTGAAACTCAGCCGCTGCCCAAGAGGCTATAGAAACAACTATATTATTTACCTAAGTGAAACTACAATAGATGTTAGTTTAAGGTGATCTCTAATAAATGTAATGTAACATACCTCAGCCGCTGCCCGAGAGGCTATAGAAACGACTGAGGTATTCCTATACTAAACCCCCTACTACTTATAGTCGGAGGTGCTACTCGCTACAGTATAATGACTCCTAGGAGAACAATGGTTACTCCATGGAGAACAATGGCTGCTTCGGCAGAGACCGGGTTTATCCGGTTTTGTCAGCTTGGTTTTTGGTGAGTCTGATACTAGCAGCGGCATGTTCAGTCAATACTTATGTTTGGTTTTGAACAGTGTATCTCTTCAAGCGGTGTAGCAAAAGTGAGTGAGCCAAAGTGAGTAATTGGAGTGGATGATGTGGCTGACAAAATTTTGTACTTCTCTGCCACCGCTTTAAGGACTGGACTTGACTTGTTTTCTATGCTTACCTGTGCACATTGAGGTGAGTTATGTTTTTTTTTCCATCCTATCTGCTCATCCTTTAAGCCTACATATAATTTCACTAATTAAATTACAGAATATATCTGATTTATGGACCACCAGCTTTCTCATTCTATCAAGCCTTGGTCACGACTACCTAAAGGCACACCGCATCAGAAAAAGCCGTCAAAGAATGTCTCAAATTCTCGCATGCGTGGTAATGTGACTCTGGAGGCTAGAGTAGACAAGATAAAAGAGGACCTGTGTTCTCTCCCAGAGCTGATTCACAAGCATTTCAAGACATGGTCGAATGGAGCCCATGATTTTCAACTCAAGTACATGAATACCCTGGCATTAGGCACTGATGTAGTCTTACATGCAGCCACTGGTTCTGGGAAGAGCATGTGAGTGCCTTTGCATTGCCAAAGTTGTGTTTTTTAGGTCTTATTTCTGACAGGTGGCCACCTTCAAGGATGAGTTTGCCTTACAGGCAACAGCAATCCACAGTGTGGGGGGTGGATGCTCATGTCAGGTCATGAATGTCAGTAGCAATGGAATTTTCCTGTTACATTATTGGCTTACATTGGCCACAGGACATAGTAAACGGGACTTGGCAGGTCATGATTGTATCGCCCAAAATGATACAATCTAGGTGTTTCATGAGCAATGTACTATGTATCACAACTCAATGGGATCCGCACCCGTGTACAGTGATTCTGGACCTTCTGGGCATGCAACCAATCAGTATGCTTTCCAAGTACGCCTTGGTAGCTTAGTTGGTAAAGCACCAGACCATGAAAGCTGGAGTCCCAGGTTCAAGCCCTGGCCAATGCATGTTTTCTCATACTATAAACAAATGTCATAATTTGTCACTATGCAAGCCTAAATTTGGATCACAATGCTTGAACGTCTTTGTGGACAAAGCTCACTGTGTATCACTCTGGGGTGCTTCATTTTGCAAGAAATATGGCTGTTTAGGTATTATAAGGCATTTCCTGCCTAGGCATGTGCCCATGATAGCCGTGAGCACAACACTTGACAAAACTGGATAAACCCGGTCTCTGCTGAAGCAGCCATTGCTCTCCTAGGAGTCATTATACTATAGCGAGTAGCACCTCCAACTATAAGTAGTGGGGGGTTTAGTATAGAAATACCTCAGTCATTTATATAGCCTCTTGGGCAGTGGCTGAGGTATATTACATTACATTTATTAGAGATCACCTTAAACTAACATCCATTGTAGTTTCACATATATAAATAATATAGTTGTTTCTATAGCCTCTTGGGCAGCGGCTGAGTTTCACATAGTTTTATTAACACTGACTACTTGTGTATGTGACAACATAATCTAAAAGCTCAATATGAATCCAGCAAGTTATCTTTTTGTCAATGTGGGTAATGACCGTCCCTCGGTAGTTTAAGTGGTCAGAATCATGCAACATCCTATGAACTCCTTCAAGGACCTGGATTTTGAGATTCCTCTGAGTATGACCACACCCTTGGACATACCAAAAACATTCATCTCTTCAGCCCCACCACAGTTACTACAACTGCCAACTCATGGGCTGACAATGGTCATAGTTCTGTCCCAAAACCACCCTCCTCACAGTGCCCATCCATATGATCCATTCCCTACCCACCTTCCAATGTCATCTGCTCCTCAAATCCTTCAGTTCAATGTGAGCCATAGTATGCGTCAACAGGTGCATCAAGCTCCGGTTTGGATGGATCCTCCCCGCACCTCTCGTCATCCATCACGCATTTGCCCACCGGCTCTCACAACAGCTGCATCTCTGTATTGACAAATGTCGCCATCCCACCATGCGGTTTGACCGTCGCAACTTTCCCATTTGTTGACAGCTTTTATGTATCAAAACCAGCTACCGTACACTTCTCAGTTTCTGCCTCATCACCTGGCAACTCCTCCTCTCCGTTACCAGCCTGTACATGGTCCAAGTAGTAGTTTCTCAGAGAACGGCAAGAGCACTTACAAGTACCAAGCAGATGGCATTTAATGTACTAGAATACTGTGGTAGATACATGGGAACTAAATACAGTGTAAAAAAATTGGTTTGTTCGTCGTATCCGACAGTGACCAACTTAGTTTTGAAAATTTGTGAAAAAAGTCTACATATGAAAATGTAACGCGCCGACTATTCCCGAATATGATTCCTGCCGATTGCCCCACAGGTCTCTCGCTGTCCACGCACGCTCCTTCCATGCGGATTCCAACCCCTACGCTCGTTTAACATTCGTTTAACATTTCGTTCCATATGGACCTTTCATAGCCGTTATTTGTTTGCCCCAACCTGTCCACGTAGTAGTGATAAATAGCACTGTAATCGATAGAGACAGGTAGCCTTGAAACAACCACGACTTACACCAGTTCTTTCAAAGGTTCGATACTCAGTGGGGCGTTAGCGTTACGCAAACGTCACAGAAAAACGGCCAGCTAATCATAAAAGCCTTTTTTCATATGTCAACTTGGAGAACAATGTTTGTGCTCGCCGTCGTCGACAGCGACTATGAACTCGACTCAAAAAATCAAAAAAATCTATTAACATAAAATATTCTACTAATTACAGAATTGGTTTTTTGTATATCAACTTTTTGACCTTTTTTCATGCTCACCGTCGTTGACAGTGACGACGAACTAGACTCAAAAAAATTCGAAAATAATCTATTAACATCAAATATTCTACTAGTTACAGAAATGGTTTTTTGTATATCAACTTATTGACCTTTTTTTGACTACTTTTGAGTCCCCACAATGAAGTCCCCACTTCATCTTTGGTGGGGAATTCTCCCTCCCTCACAAAATGGCGACGAGTGGTCCCAGCCTGCTCGCAAGCTCGCAAATTCATATCGGCAAATATGATAAGTGCGAGCTAGCCGAGCAGGTTGGGGACGAGCCTAGCATACATTATGTAATGTCTGTAATCAGGGTATTTACAAGATATGATCGACTGTCATCACTATATTGAATAAGGTCAGCAAGGGAGACTATAATCAGGGTACAATGTGTTTATCCAGTCTTACAATATTTTGTACCTTTTGTGAAGTTTAACCGGTTATCCATCGGATTTCAAGACCGTATTTGGGCATGCAGAATCCCGGAATTATAAATCGGACTTACACAATATATAAGGACATCCCACGATCAGTTGTATTCGCTGATGGGCACTTGGGTGAATAGCGTTCAGTTTTGCAACAAGTTCCCTAATGAACTATAAGGATGGGCTACACTCGGTCCAGGGCGTTGTGCGGGGCATTCGACATTCGCTTCGTGCGAAACACTACTCGGAACAAACTGTATTGGACACGACCGCCAGAGCTCAGGTAATTTTCCTTATCTTTCTCTTCTTCCGTTCGCTTTCAAACCAAAAAATGATTTATCCTTCAGCTCAAAATCTCACAAATCGATTCCCGAACGCCAATTTCTCCTTCCCTAATTGATTCCTTCCATCGCCGACATGATTATTTGCGAATATCACTCACAGAGAGATGCAATTTACGTTGTTAGTTATATCATTCCCCATTTCTCCCTTGGGTCTTATCTTGGTCTCAGGCTTTTATTGCATGCCCAATGAAGGTGTCGAGCTATCGCCACCACAGCACCTACTGACGGACAGCGAAGTCATTCGACTAGCAACTTTATTCGTTAAGGGTGGTGTAACGAAGATTCGTTTGACTGGCGGAGAACCGACAATTAGAAAAGGTATCATTGAAATTATAGGTGAATAGTTAGTTCCATTTGGCTTCGAGTAACGTGCTGACATGAACTGTAGGTCGTCTAGATGAGCTGCGTGTACATGGTCTGAAATCGATAGGGATGACCACTAACGGTCTCATACTCCACCGGCGTCTGCCCGAGTTCGTTGCGAATGGACTTACACATATCAATCTGAGGTATTTGCTGTCGTATTGAAATTGGTCTTTACCTAATCTATCCCTAAGCTTGGATACTATGGATCCTTTCAAGTTTGAAATCATGACTCGACGCCGCGGACATGAAGCTGTCCTTCGCTCTCTTGAAGCCGCCCTATTATCCCCCGATCTAGTATCTGTAAAGTTAAATGTAGTTGTCATGAAAGGTCTGAATGATCATGAAGTGGTTGACTTCGTGGAAATGACCAAAGGCCACAATCTTTCGGTTCGTTTCATCGAATTTATGCCTTTTACAGGTGAGTGGTAGATCTGATTTTTCGGGGTTCAATGCCAATTGTCTATTAGGTAATAAATGGGATAAGGCAAAGATGGTACCATCGTCAGAATTGCTAGCCAATATTGCAAATCGTTATCCAGACATTGCTCGAGCCCCTGGTAAAATTAATGATACCGCTCGCTCATGGAAAATTCCAGGCTATCGTGGCAGTATCGGGTTCATCAGTAGCATGTCGGACCACTTCTGTGCTTCTTGCAACCGTCTCCGTTTAACTGCGGACGGTCAAATAAAGGTAGCGTTTTTATATGTTCCATAGCTCCTCGAAAATAAGTTGATAGGTACTGGCTATAGGTGTGTTTATTCGATGCAAAAGAAATATCTCTTCGAGATGAAATGCGAGGAGGAGCAAGTGATACTGAGTTACTCCAGCTCATTAGTAGCGCAGTCCGAGGCAAGAAGGAGAAACATGCTGGGATGGAGGATATTGATGTTGTCACAAATCGACCGATGACTCTCATTGGAGGTTGAGTCCATTCTCCTTTTCTAACATGTGTAGCTCTAGTAAACAACTTCCGTTATACCATTCGGTACTCAATGGATGCTCTACTTGCTTTTAGGTGTCATCTCCGATAAGCGCAAACTTCCAACTTTGTCTTCACTACGAAAAAAACATATGTTACCCTATTTTTCTCTTTCAAGCGTTACGTCATCCTATCATATTCATTGTCGAATGAATTCTTCTGTTGCCAGTGACCCGATATCCCCCTTGACCCATATCGACGTTACCGGCCGGCCTTGCATGGTGGATGTGGGGGATAAACAGCCTTCAAAGCGCATAGCCGCGGCCACTGGTCGTATTTACATTCCTAAGACCGCTTATGATCTTGTGTCGCCAAGCAATCCAAATGGTAGTGACTCAAACATTTCAGTTGGATACGAGTCAACAATGGTCAAGGCCCGGTCGAAAGGGGATGTTCTTACCGTAGCGCAGTTGGCTGCAATGATGGGATGCAAGCGAACGGCCGACCTGATCCCGCTTTGCCATCCTCTATCTTTGTCGCACATCTCCGTCACGCTAGCCGTAGAATCTCACAATAGGGATGGGTTGCTACCACAACGTCATCAAGTTGTGGATAATGTCAGTTACAGTATCAAATGTGATGCCACAGTATCCTGTGAGGGGAAGACTGGTGTCGAGATGGAGGCTCTGACTGCTGTATCCGTCGGGCTTCTAACGGTATGGGATATGCTGAAGGCAGTTGCGGGGAAGGAAATGATGATCGGAGATATATGTGTTACACACAAGGAAGGTGGGAAAGGTGATAACTTTGAAAGACAGTACAAGGGGAACAAGAGTAGTTAATAGTAGGGGTCGTCGCATGGTGCGGACTCAAACCTTGCTTGTAGCTGTTATTCTCTCGTTCGTTTGATACTTTGCCGTAGTACTTGTATTGTACTATCTGAGTGAATTCCTGTCCTAAAAAGAACATTAGGGGATATGTCTTAGAAATAAATGGGGATTAGCTCAAAAATGACACTGGACCCTTAGATCTAGTCCAATCCTAGCTGCATAGATGGCACAGGCATCCAGGCAGGTGATGACATTGAGTTTGTTGACAAAACCGGATAAACCCGGTCTCTGCCGAAGCAGCCATTGTTCTCCATGGAGTAACCATTGTTCTCCATGGAGTAACCATTGTTCTCCATGGAGTAACCATTGTTCTCCATGGAGTAACCATTGTTCTCCTAGGAGTCATTATACTGTAGCGAGTAGCACCTCCGACTATAAGTAGTAGGGGGTTTAGTATAGGAATACCTCAGTCGTTTCTATAGCCTCTCGGGCAGCGGCTGAGGTATGTTACATTACATTTATTAGAGATCACCTTAAACTAACATCTATTGTAGTTTCACTTAGGTAAATAATATAGTTGTTTCTATAGCCTCTTGGGCAGCGGCTGAGTTTCACTTAGGTTTATTAGGTTATGAGCGCTGGTGCGCAAAAGGTACGCAGGAAATAATTCTTATTTGAAACGGCAACCTCAGAACCATGACCACAGCATGCGATACATCTGCATGTCCAGTTCTCACTGGACCCAACAATTTTCAGATATGGAAACTCCGGATCATCTCAAAGCTATGTCGGGAAAAAGTTCTCCGGGTTGTTACTGGAGAGGAGCTTAAGCCCTCACCAGGAAACCCTACCTCCTCAGAGAATCCTGAGATCACCTGGATACTTAAGGATGAGAAGGCACATGGAATCATCCAGAACCACATCTCTGATGCCCTCTTAATGAGCACTGGAGACCTCACCAGCTCCAAGGAGTTATTTGATAAACTTGTCTCACTCCATCAAACGTCCAACATTGCCTCGGCCTTCTATTCATTCCAGCAACTCACCAAATTGTCCTGGGATGGGACATCACCTATCCAGGACCACATTGCAAAAATCCGGACAATTGATTCACACCTCTCCGGAATGAAACTAGGAGTTGATACCAAACTCATGGCTTTTGCTCTTCTCAAATCTCTCCCATGCACTCCTGAGTGAAAAATATTTCAGTCATCAGTAATCAACATGATTGAAGAAAATAAACTTATTACTATAGGTGCTACTATAGCTCTTATAGTACTATAGGCATCAGGAAAATCACCTTGGCAATATAGCAGAGGCATTACTAAAAATGCTACTATAGCTCTCATAGTACTATAAGTTTGAGCACATATAGCATCAGTATAATATTATATAGCCAGCCAAGGCATTATAATGGCTTATAGCTCTAATATCCTATATAGCTGTTAAGACCATAGTTCATATTTATACCTTTATCCAAGTATAAGTTGTGACAATGTGCAAAAATAATGACAAGTCCATGAAAGGTCAATATATTACACATGTATAGTATATTTTGTAAGCCTTTATGGTGTAGTGGATAAATGTGTGGTATATGGCTGTAGATTGATTGGTCAGCACACAAGTAGACCAACAGGTTGAGAGTTCAAACCTTGTGTGTGATTATTTTTTTAAACCAGCCACAAACTCTCTCATAGCTCATATAGTCAGCTATATGCTATAAGTGCTATAAGGGGCTATAGCCAACTATAAGAGTACTATAAGAGAACATTATTCCTGAATAGACGTTGGGGTTTATATTGCAGCTATGATCACTATGGCAGCTATATTTGCAACTATAGTACTATCAGAGTGTTTTTCCTGATGTGGTAGGTTGTACCATTATTCCTTTGAGTTGTAGCCTTTGAAGTTGTGCTCCAGTGCCCCAAGATTGTATCTTATTGGTGTTGACACAGCATCTGGATTTAAGGATATGGTGCTATTGATTGTGTGGGAACCCAAATTTGACAGGACAATACTGGAAACTGGTGCATGGTCAACTGGCTGAGCTGGATGTGATACTTCGTTATTCTTGCCAATTTCAGAATTGTTGTCACTTTGGACATCTAATACTGCCAAGGCCAGCTCAATTTTGTTTGTATAGTCCCCATGCACTTTTTGGACTATAGCCAGTACCTTGCTCGAGGAGGAAATGTAAGCATTGATCATCTGGTATGTTTCCTTGATATATCTAGTGCCACCTTTCATTGCAAGGATTTGTTTGTAGGCATGGAATATATTAAAATACTAGATGTGGGATACCGCACCCTTCCCATCATGTGGGAATTCATCATCAGGTGAAGCCAAAAACACGGCCTGTAGCACAGAATGAAAATGACAATAAATGATCTGACTGGATAGTAATAAGGTATATATAACAACGGCACCCCACACAGAACTTGATGTATTGCAGAAACAATGTGAGCATGTGGTATTAAAGTTACTTTTATGTCCTACTTTTGCAACAATTAAGTTTTTGAAGACATATTTTATATCAATCTTGAAGTTCAGGAAGAGTACTGGTGGGAACGTGGGGTATTTATCATCCTTCCTGTTATTGTTTATACCCAGCAATACTTTCAATTCTGGCACTGTTGTCCGTATTTGAAATATCTGAGTGACCATTACCAAGCTTCTTCAAGGACTAATAGATCCTTCTATTAGAGACAAAAACAGTCATGCATTAATACTGGTGCATAGATGTACTATGTTTCCAAAGTGATGACTGTCCTTTATCAAGCAATAAAGATGCTTGGGAATGAACTCATATATTTCAATAATTTGTGCCTGTTCCTCCGCAAGTGGATGCATAGTGCTCCGCTGAATCAGGGTGTGGATCATCTTGCTGCTGCTTTCTGAAAAACAAGGTATTCACATGCATGTTGACCATGATTCCATACATTTTGGCCTCCCTGGCTATTTTTATGTTGTGAGTTGAGATCTCCTTTGGCACTGTGTTGGTTCAATGTTCTAGTTGATTTCACTTCATTGTTGCATTGGCCCTCTGCAATTCCCTGTTTTTATTATAAAGGTTGGCCATCTGAAGTTGCATTGCTTTTACAGCCTGTCACAGTCAATATAGTACAAGCTTGAAGGTCAAAATCTACTAGCTCTAGAATTTCAATATTCACTTACCTCCTTGTACTCTGTAAAAAACAAATTATCCCTCACAAATGGTTTGGTGAGAGATGTTCTATTTTCATTGCCACTATCAGACTTGCTTGACAACACTTAATCTGACTCCATATTTTCTGAATCAGATGAAGAGCCTTGAGCCATGTTGTAGATGCTGGACAAGGTAGTGGGGGATAGAAAGCAAAAATTTACCAACATGTTGTCTACGCACCATGCAAAGAATTGGACAACGTGTTTTGCTTTTACGTGAAGATATTACTAGATAAAGTGTAGGCATTCAGGGACAAAGCAAACTTGGGCTGCCTCACCCCATAGTAGGAGATAAAGTGCAATTTGCTTCGGTGACTTTGTGCTTGTGGTGTGAGGACCACTGTTGTACTTAGCTGATTTTAATCACTGGATGCGGTGATTTTGGGCATGGCCTATAGCATCATTGAGGTCCAGTTAGGCAGCAAAATACTGTGTATGGTAATTAGTGTGTTTGCCACCAATATTATCTTCATAACATGTAAAGTGATGCCTGACATGATGCTCAACTATCAAACAACAGCATTGGGAAGTCAGCAGCGCAAATAAGTTCTTATATGTGTGATCCAGATCAGCGTCCATTGGTCACTATAACCCATATCCATATTTTCAGGGCTATGCATTGTTGTTATTGACATATCAAGTAGTCAGCCACAGGTCTTGATAGCAGAGTATAGCATATCAACACCACTCATTGGTTGTTGAGACATTGAGAGCTGTACTGCGGCCAGATTAATACCCAGGTAGGGGCATCATTCCCCTAAATTGTCAATATAAAGGCATCAGTGAGTAGCTTTGTGGATTGTAGGGAGCCTTGTGGCCATACAAGGAAGCAGTGCGTGACTTGGCATATCCATTATTCTGTAATTTTGTTGGAGGCTCCCACAAACCAATGCTGTGATACAACTCCTTATCCCAGAGTTCATTTTCTTATGCAACAATTTAATAAGATTACATGACCAGGGCCAACATCAGAACACACATATAATAACTTCAGGTCTTCAAGAAAATGAGATGTGGGTCAAATTTGCCTTCACCCTGCGTATTTGGTCAGCATACAGTGCAAGATTTTGACAAAATATAAATATACATGTATGATTATCTTTTTACCAGACTCACCCAACACCACACAGGTAGCACCCCATAAGAAGTTGTCCATCTTCTAGAACAAATAAAGCCGGAGGGTGAAGCACAAAACTGGAATGGCCAAGATGTATAAAACCATCCATTTGACCATGTCCCATTTGTGATGCAGAACAAAGACCAACACTTATAAACCTTACATAGCGCCATTTATAATGAGTTAAACAATCTAGAATGACAAGAGATAATTATTTGACCAGGGAATATGTGAAGTGAGACTCACATATGCAACCGTAACAGACTGGGTCAAAGTTGAGAACAAATCCACCATAATGATGAAAGGCAAAAAAATAAATAGAATCCACCAAGAATATCAGTTCTCCAAGGTTGTGAACTGTATAGTTGATCCATCAATCATGCTGGGAAAGCAAGGTCTTCCAATCACTGGGAGCTACAGTGTACGCATGTGCATTGCGGATCATCTGTGCCTTAGGCAATGGGTAATGCTTGAGCAACAGCGTAATGAGATAACAATTTTCTCCCAAAAGCAACAAGTTCTTCATATGTAAAGTATCAACATAATTTGTACATGTGTACTATACAGTTGATGAAAGTGGTGGCTGATGATGTCATAGGGTGCAGTCCATGTGACCAGCTCTCTTATGTGAGAGATTTGTATCTAAAAATAAGAAGAAGCAGCACAGCGTGAGAAAGCGAAAGTCTGAACAAAAAAAAAGTGCTGAATGGCACAAGTGTGTGAGAAATGAGAATGAAGTTTATAGAGGAATTTTGAATGAAAGTTAAAAGTCCAAAAATTGTGTATTGTAACACCTACAAAATGCATCAGACTAATAACTTATAGAGAATATCAAACATTAACCTGCATCATAGTGATGATAGACTTCTTGGCGTTAGTAAGCTCTGTCTTTCCACAAATACCAAGAACCTTCTTGTTGTGAATCATCCTGCAAAACTTTGTGAATTTGGATATAACACATATTCAGCACTGATACTGATGTAGAAATCAAACAGTTGACGGAAAGAAGTTCCACCGCGGTATTGGCATTGACAGTGAAAAGAGACTCATAGAAAGTAGGGTTCACTCCAATGGCATTTTTGATCTGGTGATACATCTCCAGTTCCATCGGGTTCATGGGTGAGTTGAAATAGACCTGACCGACAATATTTAGTTTCCAATGCAAAGATGGCAAAGAATAGTCACCCACCTTGTTGAGGAAATGCGTCATCACTATCTGCAACTCACACTTACCACAATTGCCTGGACGTGCACACTCAGTTGGCTTGCCAACTTTAACAATGACAAGGCAGGGAACAACATGTCCAGCGCATTCATAGAGCCCATATACTTTACCCATGTTGTGCTGTCTAGACCCTTTGCCAAGAGAAAGGAAACTCAGAGATTTGGGGTTCAAGTTAGGGTCTGCACCCAGAATATCGAGGGCAATACAAGAAGTGGAGTGGGACAGTCATTTCTGAAACCAATGATAACTTCAGACTGCATCACAATTAGTCCATGTATTGTTGCCAGTTGACCAAAGATTCATAGTTAACTTTGAGAAACTGATACTCAGTAATCTGTCAAGATAATGTGTGAACCAAATTTAAAGCCTGAGTAGTAGCAGTTGCGAACATTGTCTGCCGTGCTAAATATATTCTTCCAAATTATGAGTATGATAGTATCAGTCTGACCAGTTAAAAACTCACATTAACAGGCCAAAGCCCCTGGCTTTTCAAAATCTCTTCTTTTTCTGCTTCCATTGGCTGCAAATTTGCATTTTTTACTGTAGCCTCAGATTTGACACTGGTCCATACTTTTTACTCTGGTCAGATAGTTTTGTTTCTGGAACCAGACAAACTGGGCATATAAATTTGGACTTTCTCCCTTGTGTTGAGGCCATTGCATATCTGTAATTGTATAAATATAAATTAAATACATATCAAATAATTGATATACAACTGACTGTTCCTTGTAATCAACTGACAAAATCAACATATAGGGAAAAGATATCACTGAATATGATCAATAATGTCCTTATGCCAGTATCCTGTCTTTGAGAGAGGTTCAATAGACTCCAGAATCTTCAAAAATGCCTTATGCCAGACAATATTCTTGAAGTTGGCAAATGTTGTTTTGCCTTTATGAGTCTCATCTTCCAGCACCTACCAATATCATCAGTAATCATATGGCTGATCTTGAATATCAGAATTTATCTGCCAATGCAACAACCGGATAACCTTTTGCAGAACCAAATGAAGACAACTTTGTCTTGTCCATACATACCAAATGAAACAAGATGGCTTTGCACCTTCAGGGAGCTTCAACTAAAATCATAAATATATGCATTGTAATACTACCTACCACACATACATTTTTTACATATATGAACATCCCAAAAATGCTTTACCATCTATGGCTCATCAAAAAATTGTACAAAAGACTAACACTTATATTTGAAAGCCTTTCAGCATCAAAGACAAAATGTGGTGCCAGCTCTGGATCATTTAATAGATCCAATGCTCAGTCCCACACGCTGTAAGGATTGACTTATATGAGCCTAGCTTATATGCTGAAGATATTGGATATCTGTGTTCTGATTGGCTGACAAAAGCTACAATTGAATATTTTCAGCATATAAGTTGGGCTCATATAAGTTGATCCCCACAGTGACAGTGGCCAAAAATGGACATCAAATTGATGCTCTTCATTTTGGAAAGGGACTGAAATTTCTTCTTTAGAAAACTAAACTAAATGTATGTTAGCAGGGTAATACCAAAACTACATAAAAGTGCAACCAGTGTGAGACCATGGGCAGCAGCTTTCTATGCTTCACATAACTCGGTGTGACTTTCAATGTGAATGTGGCTTCTTCCCACACCACTGAATCAGATTTATGTAACAACCAAAGTTTCAATACTCTGGTGCACACAACAACTAGAAAAGAGGGTTGATGGAGGAGTGGATAAACTCCCTTAGATAGGACCGAGTTAGTTGTGGGTAAACAATAGGAGGACTAGCTGAGAAGTCTCCTTTATCTCTTGGGGTATTTATACAACTACAGACTATTTGTACATGTGTACTATACAGTTGATGGAAGTGGTGGCTGATGATGTCATAGGGTGCAGCCTATGTGACCAGCTCCACCACATGAGAGAGTTTGTATCTAAAATAAAGGAGAAGTAGTGTAGCGCAAGATTGTAAAAGTATAAGTGGAGTTTGAAATAAAATGAAATTGCCACATGGCACAAATGTCTGACAATGATAATGAAAGTTAAAGTGGAGAAAGAAAGTTGTAAGCCCAAAAATTGTGTATTGTAACAATGTATTAGTCTTGTTATCTGATCCTTGTTCAGCGCAGCCTCAAGGGCAACCTCTGCAAATTCAAAGTCAGTATGTGAACAAAAAGGAGACCAAGGCTTTGAGTTAATGATGTGGTTCTTCTTAGATGATGCACATGTGAACTCAGAAAGCGGTTGATGCTTACAGCTCTGCCACTGCTTGGATCATATTCTACTTTTATATCATTCATTTCTAGCTGTTTTATTGCATCTGACTTGGTACCAACTTGTGAGGAGGATGCTGAAACATAACAATAATCAGAAGAGTGATAAAATAAATAATCATATATACATACCAAAAACATTTGAAGGCACATCATTATTAGCAGTAGTTTCTTCATCCTCTTGAACCAGCCATAATGAAGGCCCAGCTTCAATACAGCCACATAATCAGTACTCAAGGAATCCAAAATATACACATAATGTCAATCTTGATTATGAGCAGCTGATGCAAGCTTCTTTTCTTGATTAAACCACTGTGTATTAATCACATTAATTAGTCTGTTATTATTCTCTAGTATAGTGACTCACTTTGTTTTTTCTTGCCATGGAGCCATTTCCTTGATTCATGGTTGTCCTTCATAGCAGCAACCTGGACCTGACAGGTCTTCATATAGGTCACCAGTCCTCAAGACTTGAACAGATTATTGCAGGTTGGGCAGGTCTTTTTGTTGGTGTTTTTAGGCATAGTAAGTTTTGATACAGATGTTATTCCGCCTCAAAGAATGGAATGTACAGTGAAGATGGGCGGTACAGTATGTACAGAGGGCTGGGAAAGGTCCTCGCAAGGCATAGAAAGCATTGATGGATGGTATTAGTGATGCCTTGCAATAACATTTGCAACATTATTATGTAATCTTAGCTAATCTACACTGGTTGCATTCCTATCATAACTGGTCTGCAATACCACTGCAGCCACACCCAGCTGCAACCAAGAATACAAATCTCCGACATTAATTAAAGGTAATACATGACAAATTAAGACATTTGTTTATAGTATGGAAAAACATGCATTGGCTAGGGCCTGGACCTGGGACTCCAGCTTTCATGGTCTGGTGTTTTACCAACTAAGCTACCAAGGCATACTTGGAAAGTGTACTGATCAGTTGCATGCCCAGGTCCAGAATCACTATACATGGGTGTAGATCCTATTGTGTGTTGTGATAGTATAATACACAGTGAGTACACTTGGAGTTGTTGCCGTGAATTGTAGCATGTCATAACCCAGATTGCCTGTTGTTTTGCATCATTGCGCTCACATGGACTGCTATAATCCATTCATTCATTTGCCCGGATCTCAGTTAATTGAACATCATAAACAATGGATGTTTTACTAAGTGGTGAGAAGCAATGACATCTGTTGTCATTTGTGTTAAATCCTCGTACAGTAAGCATTTGTAATTCCCCCACTTTTTGAGTAATATCACACATTACTGTAAATAACACCAATTCTCTTCATGGGCCGGCACCACGGGCATGAAAGGGTTTTAGCCAAGCCGGGAGAGGTATGATTTGTACACAAACAGCATAACTTCAGCCACCTTGACGGCCTGACTGGAATACTTCAAATATTATAAATATATACTTTGTGATAGATTAACTAAAATTTTACCAATGTTTTGAGAAATAGCTGGGATGGTTCTTGCCCAGTTTGAGGCTGACATGTTGCTGGTTCTTTATAAACTAGGTTTGTATTGGCTAAGCTGCTGACTTTTCAAAGAACTAGCAATGTGTCAGACATGAACCATCCCAGCTATTTCTCAAAATATTGGTAAAATTTTAGTTAATTTATCACAAAGTACAGAGTAACACCGGTCCTTAACACATCATGGTTCCTTGACACAGTGTGATTTAACTTGCATTATCCTACCTGTAGGATTTCAAGCATCTTGTAGCATGTAGGTCAGTATGTAAATTTTTATTTCCCAAGCAATAGAGCTCTAGATGATCTGATTAAACTGTATGAAGTATTTTTTAGCGACAAAGATGACAGCAACAATATATGGGGGTATATTTATTCTAGAGTAGACTTCTGGCCCACTGAAGGTGGTGTTGTAACATAGGCAGCACATGAAAATACTTGCCAGTGCAGTCAGCTGTTTGAGCATGACAAGACTCAAATACCATGAGAATTTAATGTATCTGGATTATTTCATGCACTGTGTCTGTGCTTCTAAAATCACACTGTCTCCGTTTATCTAAACATAGAGCCCATTCAAGCTCAAATGGTCAACTACGCAAAGTCTATTGCATCAAAGAAAAAAACCAAACATAAAGAAAGTGATTTGAAAATGGCACAAGCTCTTCATACATATTATCTCAAGAAGATGAAACCAAATAGAGAGGGTTGTGGTATTTGGCCAATTGCAAAGCAAAGTGGAGTAGGATGGAGGACTCTATCAAGACTTTACAACGGAGGAACAGCTATGTCTGACTGTAATATTACCAAGCAAAAGCTGACCTTAGCAGAGGAGGATGTTCTTGTGAATTACCTTCTTGAGTCTGCTATTCGAGGATTCCCACTGACTCTGGGAGAACTATACCAGGAGGCCAACATGATTTTGAAGTCCAAATATAGAGATGACTATGAACTAGTCGGGGAGAACTGGGCATCAAGATTTCTTACACACCATCAAACACAAGTATAAACTCACTGGTCCCAACCACTCGACTCAATGAGAGCCAATGGCCTCAACCCACCCAATGTTGAGTGTTGGTTTGACCTAGTGGAGGCTTGCCTAGTCCTCCAGTCAGATGGAGAGGAGATCAACCCCAAAAACATCTATGGTATGGATGAAACAGGCAATGTGCCATCTGATCATGGCACTTGCCAATTAGTTGAGATGAAGGAAGCAAAGCGGCAACTTCAGCAGGGCAGTGGAGATCATGGGAATGTCACTGCAATTATAACTGTGTGTGCGGATGGCACAACAGTGCAGCCCACACTCATTTTCAAGGGCAAGAATATTATGAAAAAGTGGGGGAATAATAATATAGCAAATGGATTGTAAGCCAAATATGCCAGAAACTAGCCACATCAACTCACCAACACTAGGATTGCTGCATCATTAAATGGCTGGACTGATGACAAGCTTGGACTGTATTGGATCCAAGACTTTAACATAAAAACAAGAAAAAAAGCAAATGGCCAGACTTGGGTACTCTTCCTTGACGGACACTCCTTTCATCACACATCAGCACTGCTTCGTTGTGCCCAAGAAAATAAGATTGAAATACTTGCCTACTTGCCTCACACAACCCATGCTCTACAGGGGATGTTATCTGCTTCGCCATCTACAAGACTGCCTGGAAAGATGAGGTAAAAATTTTTGAGAAGCAAGACAAGCATAAAGTTACCACTGCCGACTTCACAGGAGTGCTTGGCAGAGCTTTCTTACATGCTTTCACTCTGGAGGTTGTCCGCTCCTCATTTTCAGCTACTGACATCTTTCCATTCAACCGGAATATCATATCTACTTCACAGATGAAGCCAAGCGAAGCCACATCTGTGAAAGGATCATTCCCTATGCAACAAGCAAGTCCTGTATGGGCCATCATGGCAGTGTACCAATATCATCAGCCAACATCATTAGAAACCTCACCAAGCACTCACAGGCCTATCATATCCTTTAAAAATCCACAGACTCCCACCCGACATCACCCAAATGCACCACTTGATGATAGCATTGATCCAGCCTGGCAAAAGCAGCATCTGGGAGCTTTCTTGTGTTGAAGGCTCTAGTTAAATCTTTCAGTCTGATTACAAAGCCTGTTCTCAAAGGCCCACCAGATATACCAATTCCCAAGTGGTCCCTCGTAGCTCCTACAGTCTCTGTATCTGAGATGTTGCACAATGACCTGCAATTATATGCCTCAGAACTTCAGGACAGTCTAATGCTTCCTAAGCAACATGTACAAGGCCGGGATGCAATCATCAAGGGAGCCCATGCTCAGCTCGTAATCCAAGATATTTTCACAATGAAACAAGGTCAGGCCCTTTATGCAAAAGAGAATTGGAAGGAAAATGAACACACCAAGCTGTTTCATGAGGGCAAGGGCCGACATTTGACTAGTGATGAATTTATTCTTGAAGTTGAGCAGACAGAACAATGAAAGAGGGATAAAAAGACTGCAAGGGAAACCAGGAGAGCCAAGAAAGAAGCCCGACAATTGGAGAAGGGAGCCATGGAGAGGGAGTGGCAGAGACAACTTGCGAAACACACTGATGCTATGACAAGATGGGAGTCAGAGTGCAAGAAGTTGACTGAAGAGGGCTTACCAAGAATATACATGCCAGAGAAGCCCACAAGGCCATGGAGGAAGGATATTGTGCAGCAGCAAATAGAGAGCATTCCAGCACAATGAGACAGTGACAGTGATAGCAGTGACTCGGAAGATTGCTAGTACAGCAAAGCTCAAGACGACGGAAGTGGTTGTGTTTGTCACATGACCAAAAAAGGAATTTATTGTGTCCGTCACATTGTGTCAAGGACTTGTTTGCAGTGACAATGATACTTTCACATTTCTTTGCATCCTGATCCTGATGAGGCTTATGGATCCATAACTTGTTATTTCTAGTCCATAATGTAATGTATTTCAGTCTGATCTCAAAGCCTAGCTTACTTGAAGTACAGCAATCAAAGTGGTATTACTTTTGTCCACACACTTACATCTTGTGTGTCAAGGACCGGCGTTACACTGTATATATTTATAATATTTGAAGTATCCCAGCCAGGTGGCTGAAATTATGCTGTTTCTGGAACCGTGGTGCCGGCCCACTAAATAGCAAGGCCTCATCCTTGGCGTGGGAAGAACATATCCTCAGACTTTTAGTCATGTCCGTAACGCAGGCCAAGTTTCTTCCATCAAAGCACTCCCCAGTTTCTTCCAATAAACACTGTCAGAGACACAAATCCACCTCAGACCCTTTCTCTAATCCAATACATTCATCGAAACCAGCACCTCGCCTTCCACCCATCTCTCCCTCAAAATTGTCTTCGCGAAACATGTTTACTCCGATAAAACCTCATCGCGATAAAATGATCGAAGCTGTTAGAGACACTGTACAAGTCCGCAATCCCGACCATTCTCCTCGCACGAGACTAGGCAGGAGTCAATCTACTGTCCCGTACGTTCTTTATCCATCTCTTTTCGATAATCGTTCATCTTCTTCATCTAGTCCAGCATCCGGAGCACATAATCGCTCTCCCCCAGCAGGGCGTCGGTCGCAGTCCCAAGACTCTGTTCTCCAAGCTGCTAATGCATTGGAGAAGGCCAAAACTGTGAAGACACGCACAAAAAAGGGTTCTATGCATGCAGATGTTATAGACAGGCTCGATTTTACAAGCGTTGGTCCCAGTATGTCTACTTAGCTGCATGTATCAAACATATCTATCTAATGTCCAGTTATTTTATCCAGTGTTTCATCACGATGGTCCTTTTGATGCTTGTGCTCCATCTCGAAATCGGCATAGAACCAAAGCACCAATGCTTGCTTGGAGTTCAACTCCAACAGAAGAGCCCACTGAGCCCAACAGGTCTTTGCACCTATCTCCTGATATATATAAAGCTACCATCTCTTCTTCTTATGATTCTTCTAAGAGAAGGGTGGATGCAATTGCCGAGGCCTGGGGTACCCATGAGCCAGAACCTTATCAGGAGTTTTTTGCTGGTGGTGGTTCTGTTAGGTACGATGGCGATAACCCCTCAAACTCGAATGTCCTTGGATATGAAGGGCATGGTTCTCGGAGTCATACTACCAGCAAACGTCAGATGGAAAATCGAGATATTCATGAGGTTTATAGGGAGTACCTTGATGATGATGTGAAGGCTAAGACCCGCGACCCTACCGACCGTGAGCCTCATTACCCTTCCAGGCGATCTCCCCTTCCACCCCCCCAACCCATTATCGTTCCGGAAAGTGGCCATGCAGATAAAGACGGCATTTCTTATTCCCCAGTCGTAGCCCACACTTCCGGCGCACCAAAGCGCAATACGTCGCTTATGCATCGTATACGTAAGATGCGCGATGCTCCAAATGTCCCAATTGGGTATGAAGAGGCAACTGGACCATTATCTGTTGAGAACTCGTCAACTGTACTTCACGGTCGTCCAACCCATCGAACGCATAACTCTTTTCTTGGACGATTCACCGGTGTAGGTGTGACTGGAAGCCGTACACATCCTCAGGACAACTCTTCGCCAACGTCCGACAGTTCAGATGTGTATGTTTACATTGATGGACCCCGTAAAGAGAAGCAACTTCCTGAAACACCGCACATTGACGCTGACTCTTGCGTACGATCAAGCGAGAACGAGATAGACGGATTTTTCGACGGCGTTTCGAGCTCACCTGGGTCTCCCACTGGCCTAGGAAGAAAGACCAGTCTCCTCAAGAAGGTAAAGGATGCGGTAAGAGGCAACAAGTGAATTTCACCCTCTCCTCTCCCATCTGTTCCACCGTTCCTTGTGTTTATTATCCATGTACTACATGTGTTGTCTTCCAAGTTCTGATCGAAACTCCATGCTTTGTACTTATAGTATACAAATGTGCTCTCTTTATGTTACATATGTGCTACACAATATGTAAAGACTTGATACTTATAGCCCATGTGGTGTAAGGGATAAATTGTGTGAGTAGAAAGAACAGCTACTTTAGAATATGACTTCGCTCAGCAACGTTGTGGCACATTTCCATGCACCAGAATTTTCTTAATCAGTATATTGGACTTCAGAAATATTTTAACTTGTGTTTTTGTCTCATTGTTTCCACTTCAATTGCATTTGAAGGAAGTATTCACAGTGTGTACTATACTTAGAAACAATACTCTAACTCTCTATTGTTGGCATTCCTGTATTATTTCTAAACATTATCATTGCAAGAATATGGGATGAAGTTGTTGGGAAAGAAACCATAGGGTTTGCGATACAATGATATATTCAAACTTACACGTGACCCATTTCTACTTTCTTCATACATATTTGTTCTTGTTCTACTTTTCCCCTCAGCTGGTCTGGCTACAACTGAGGGTATGCTACTGGTTTTCTATTCATTGTTATTCTTACACTGATATCACTGGGTGCATAGCCAAATATATCCATGAGAAAAATTGTAGATATGTTAAATGAATAAATGAATAAACTGTGTTCACAGTTCTGGTTGTCTCAATAACAGAGGTAGTTGTGGCAGATTCCAAGGTATTTTGTATTGCAGTGGTTACATTAGAAGCAAATAGGATTGTATGAAGGTCGTAAATCAACATTCCTACCACTGAACATATCAAGGCCATAGCAGTATGGCCCCTAATGTTACGATACACAATTTTTGGGCTCCTAACTTTCAGTCTCCTCTTCAACCTTTTTCTCTCTTTTGGACAATTGTGCCATGTGGCACTTCCCTTTAGTTGAACTGGGTTTGAACCTGTTTGAAACAACAAACCTTGACTCCACCCATCACCACCACCTCCTCTCCACTACCACCATCACTACTGCCTTGTTGCATCACTACCACAGCAGCAGCAGCTGCTGCCTCCTCCCAACCACCACCACTGTTGTTATGCCGCCATCCTGCTTACAACCATACTACCTGAGGGAGAACCCAGATGACACGTTAACACATCATCTGGCCCTCTCTCAAGTGGTCTGGACACCTAGGACCCCCTGTCTCAGCTGAACCAAACTTTGGCATCCTAATCTGTCCCTATATATGGCAAGTGCAGGGGATTTAATTGATTTGGTTGGTTTGGTCCAAGTTTGGTCCAGTTCAACCAATTTCAATGCAAGTTCTGTTTGGGGTTCAGATAAAAGTGTCTGAGAATAGAACCAAACCAAACTTTACCATCCCTACCCTGGGAAATATAAATGACATCAGGAAAAACCATTTTGCTATATAGCTGGGTATGTTTCTATAGCTTCTATGATAGCTATTAAATTCCTATTATACCCAATATATCTCTATGTGAAGCCTTATAGTTACTATATCAGCTATACCAGCTATACCAGCTCATTTATGTATGTCTATGAGAACCTTTTTCTGATACTAATAATGATAGAATTAATATTCACCAAATAGTTTGGTATGCATACAAACTAGCCCAATTATTTAATAGAAATTTATCACAACCATCCAAAGCATTTTCTGCACCCCAGTGAGCAGGCACTTGATCTTTTCCAAACAAAGGCAACAAGTGGCAGCCTTGTTGTATACTGCTCAATGGTACTATGGAGTACCATCAGCTCTAAATGTAGGTTTTGTAACCACATACATCATGTGTGCTGGATCTGCACTACTCTTCAACTTGGTGTACTATTCAATGTATGCCAATGGAATTTTGGGCCAATATTTTGGTATACCAACAGAACCACTGTGAAAAATGGCAGGGAGCTTAAATATTACTTTAACTCTTCCAACACGTGTACCTCTATCATGAAACATTAATTCACAACTTGAAACTGATCATGAAATTAGGGAAGAATATTACTAGCAACACCTGTTGACTCTGCTTCTAATGAGTCTAATACAACAACATTATCAAACTGTGGAGCAATTCCTTTGGACCTAGGTCTTGCTTTGATGACTTTGTACTTTACACTTGCACTAGCATCATCTCCAAGGTGAATTGGAGTGAGTTTGAAACTAGTGAATATGTCAAGTGAATCAAATGGGAGATTTTCAATATTGACTTAATTTCTGGACATATAACCTGGCTGACCATGCATTAGGCAATTCAGAAACTCCTTGATATCACGTATGGATTCTGGAGAATATCTTGCTGACGTAAAACTGGTCTATTTTGTAAAGACAATTGCTAGCATTCAAACCACGCAGTTTTTTCTTGTCTTGTTGGCTAGGTGGTCATTTGTGCACGCTCATTTCTATGATTTGATGCTCTCCATGCATTCTTGGCCATGTCTATGTGAAAATGTTCAAACATTTCTGTGTTATAGTTATTTGTAGCCCCAAACCAGCAAATAGTGTCAACATAGTGCAGAAATTTCCAGTCTAATTTTGTGGAAAATGGAGCCCATCTATTATCTGAAAGATCAACGTCCATCTCATTGTCATTTTGATGAAACTGGTGAAAAATCTCCCTCCATTCATTATGAGCATTCAAATCCACCCTTATAACCTTGCCAGCATTCTCATTTTGTTCCACTACTCTTTCATCATCATCATCATCATCATCATCCGGATTCAAGTGCAGGGAGTTGGGACTGCCAGCCTGCATCTCTGGGTCAGGGTTCAAGTTATCCTGGGTGTTGCCTTGCATTGCAGGATCATTCAGGAAATTGTTGAATGGTTCTTGTAAGCTGTTGAGAAATATATCTTCTGACCCATCTGAGTCATAGTTTTCTTGGTCGTAAACATATTCATCCAAGTTGACTTCATCAAATACTACTTGTTCAGGGCCTAGGTTGTCTGCCTCAAGTTCTCTTCTCTTTCTTTTCTTATATTAAGCACACATTGCTGACATTAATAGGTGAGCCATGACACCTTGTGGTGTTTTCAAAAGCTTTCCACATCCAGGACATGTGTGATCAACCATACTTGGTACATGTGCCATTTTCTCCTTGAACCTAAACTACACCATACACATCCAGTCAGTTTATGATATAATAACACTAGTTAATATGAAATTGATACTTTTGATTATCTAGGACCTGTTTGTAAATATGCTGTCAAGACACAACACCTCAATCTACACTGGCAATATCCCAAATTAGAAATATGTAGTAGTAACATATAGAATTTGCTTGTTCTAATACAAAGAGAAGTTGTACATGTCTAAGTAACATATTGTTTACAAGTGCAGAGTACAAGAACAAGAGAAGTAATATATATAATGTTGTCCGTATCCATTTTTCACTTCCTCCTTCTGACATTATTGCTGGAGCTACCTACACCCAATTTCTGTCAAACAAGCCGACCCACTTTTTCTTCAGAGTGAAAAGGACTCCTTCTCCTAGCTGCCTTAACACAACTTCGGGGGGCATTATAATAATCCTGAAAACGTCTATGTGCCAAATCAACTACAGATCCTTGAAAAGCCTGAAGAAAATCATCAAAGTCCAGCTGGATATCAAAGGCTGAGAGATCAATGGGAGATATCTCTTTAGGCAATACTTGGGGGTGCAAATGGGGAGTAGGTAGAGTAGTGGTGGGGGTGCGTGAATCAGTACCACTCTGAAGAGGACGACTCCTGGGTAGCAACCTCTAGCACTGCCATCTGAGCTGCTGCACTTTCAGCTTCTAGATTAGCGACAGTCTGGGGCACACTCCTCATAATCTTCTCCATCTCCAAAATTGATCATGGTAATAACACAATTGAAAACTTTGTTGAATTTGTCTTTCTGGGCTTGAGTGGGATAGAGATGGCCCACATCTATATTAGGTACCACCCTCTGTATGTATGTTATATTAGTCAAAGAAGGTTGTGATCAAGAAGGGACACACCAGTACTACGGGCGTAGGAAGATGCTGTGCATAGCTCTCCTTCCCTATAATCTTTGGGTCCTTTTTATACAGGTACATATCCACCACAAATTTACCCACCCATGTTACGCCGTCAGCTGTCCTCAGAGGGCCATATTTGATATTGTCATCCTTTTGTAAGTTGTACCAATACTACATGTTGACGGGTTCAGCGTACCCATATTGGGGCTTTGCATATTTGTGGGACTCGTAGAATTTGACCACTAGAATGCCAACAAGGTGGGGGAGCTCCTCCCAGTACTTTTTCACCTTCTGGGTGACGTCCCCAAGTGATTGGGAGTGGGAGACCTCGACAATGAACAAGTCCTGCCACTCAGTGCTAGGGTTGAGGCTTTGGAACTTGAGGGCTAAGTTGGGTACAGTGGTGATTTGACCTTGCCAGAGGAACTTGGTGTTAGTTTTGGTGATTCTGCATCTTTGTGCTACCTATATATTTTCATTCCTTTCTCTATCTATTCTTCTATCATTCACTATTGATTGTGTTCTCTATTATTTCGCCTTTGTGGCTGCTTTGTTTACCTTTGTTTACAAAACTTCGGACAGTACTGCAGAGTCCAATGCTTCCTATTCTCTAGTTACTCACATTGGACTCTAGGTACTGTATACCTGTCATACTTTCTAATAATAAAGTTACTCACATTGGACTCTAGTTCCAGTCCCTGATTGCTCTCAGCAAGTGGCTAGACACTTCCTTCAAGCTTTGTTCTTAATAGGTTATGAGCCCTGTGCTCTAGCCACCTTCCTGACCTCATATCTCACCATCCAAGCATCCTACTGCTTATCCATCGTAACCATCGTCTTCTGGGACTCTTATTATCTCATCCATCACCTCAGATTACTCTGATCTCATCTTGATCTCCAACAACAACTCCTTGTTGCAAGTTACCCCCATTTCGGACGCTTTTTTGGTCTTATCTGCACCATATCTTGCCCAATCCTTATCTGATCGTCCTGTAACTTCTACCATCGTCTTCTACGGCCTAAATAACCCCAGGAGACCTGTCAGAGCGGTTGGATTTGAGCTGGATCTTTCTGTGAGCCTTCATCATCATTTGATCACCTTTTGGCCCCCTATTCCATATCTCCACATCCTGTGCTCGGATCTTGGCCCTATTTGAGCCATCTACTACCCTATACTATTGCACTTTACACCCTCAATTTGGGGGCAATCCATCCACTCCATCATCCTCTGTGAAGTTCGCATTTTTGGCACTTTCACCCCTATTGGACTCCTATTGCATATCTCCACATCCTGTGCTTCACTTCTTGTGATATTTGGGCCATCTATTACTCTATAAAAACGTTCCCTATACCTCTGATTTGGTGGCAATCCATCCATCTTATCTGTCTCTGCATCAATTTCGACTTTTTGCCCTATTTTTCGCTTTTTGGCATATCTGGTGTGTGCATAAAGCTCCAATCTTCTCTACTCTGTCCATTATCAGATAGAACAAGCCTATAGACTGTGAAGCTCGCCTGCATTGCCTCAGTTTGCTGTTGCCTAGAGCCTCTCTCAGTCTGCGGTGTTTGGGGAGCTTAAGTCACTTTGTTGACTCATATACAAGCCCTATTAACCAACACTGTCTCGAGGCGATTTCTCTGTTAATATCAGTGTGGAATTGAAAGGGGAACACAGGCGTAACCCTGTAGCAGCACTAGGAAGCCTTAGCACCCTCCTGGATCGCTTTTGGACGCTTTTTGGACCCTATTTGGACCTATCCTTGCGCTTTCTGACCCTCTCCATATCCTCTCTCTACCGCCTCACCATCTTATCTGCTCGCCTCCTACTGTTGCCCATTGTCTTTGCCACTATTCCATCGCCTATAGCCGTCTCCTACATCATTTATCATTGCTCTATTGTCTTATACAACACCCATCATGTCTGACTCTGATCCCAAGTTCCATGCCTTGTCTGGCACTAACTACCCCCAGTGGAGTGGTGAAATGCAAGCTTGGTTGATGACCAAGGGACTGTGGAGGCTCGTCTCTGGCGCTGAAAAGTGTCCTGGGACTGACGCTGAAGCAATAGAGAAATGGGAGTTGAGAGCTGAAAAGGCTGCTGGTGCATTATACCTCAATGTCACCAAAGAGCAGCGCATCCATCTTGATGGCATCATTGATGATCCTGTCAAGATCTGGGAGAAACTGGCAATTGTGCACGTCTCTAAGAAGCCTGGGACGAGATTTAATGCCTATGATGACTTCTTCTCTATCAGAAAGAAGGAGGACGAGCCCCTGCAGTCTCTCATGACCAGAATTGACGAAGGCATGCATCAGATTCAAAATCTTTGTCCTACTGGCTTCTCATTGTCTGAATTGGACGATGAATTGACATGCATGGCCATAATTAGGGCGCTTCCTGATCAATATGCCCACTTCACTTCATCTCTACTACTTCTGGGCACCTTGGACAAGACCCAGCTCAGGGATGCTTTCCTTGCTGAAGAGGTCAATCGCCGTCGTCGTGCTGAAGTCGATTCTGCCTTGCATTCTTCGTCTACCACTGCCAATAGCACCTGCACCCATCCTAACTGCCATCATTGCAACCAATCCACCACCTCTACTCGCGTTCAGTGTGATTTCTGTGGTTTACTTGGTCATACCCAAGACAAATGCCACAGATACATTGCTAGTCGCCAACAGGCAGTGGAGGGTGCTAAGAATCGCTACAAGCGTGGTAATAAGGCTCAGGCAGGCTCCAGCAACTCTCAGAATACCTCTCAGCAGCCCAAATCTTCGGCCAACAATGCCAATTCATCTACTGTGGTCACTGAATCAGCTGGGAATGCAAGTCTTTGTTCCATTCATCCCTCTGATCCTCATTGCCCTCTCCAACTTGATGCTGACATTGATTGGAATGCAGACACAGGCACCACTTCTCATATGACACCTCATCGTCATTGGATGCACCACTATACCCCATATCGTGTGCCAATCAAGCTGGCTGATCACACTGTTGTCTATTCAGCTGGTGTTGGTACTGTGGTGTTTAATCCTGTGATGAATGGCAAAGTGGCTAGGGCTGTGGAATTCTCTAGAGTGCTCCATGTACCAGATCTTCGAAATAATCTCCTCTCAGTCTTGTATTTAACTCGTCAAAGTGGTTTCAATGTCACTATTTCATCTCATTCCATGTCCTTTATGCGTGACAACACTCTCTTGTTCACTGCAACTATCAATGACAACAATGCAGCATTCCTTGATGGATCTACTGCTGCTTGTGTTGAAGTGGGACATTTTACTGCGACTATACCACTTGATTTGATGCTCTGGCATCGCGGATTAGCTCACCACCATCATGCTGATGTTAAGAGACTGATACAGAGAGATCTGGTCACTGGGCTTACACTGGAATCCAAGGCTGCTCCTGATCCTGTCTGTGAACCGTGCTTGTCTGGCAAGATGCATGCCAATCCATTCCCCTCATCTGATACTCGCTCTGCTCATCCTTTGGACCTCATCCATTCTGATGTACACCAAGTCTCTTCCCCCACATTCTCTGGTTATTGCTACTGGGTCACCTTCATTGACGATCACAGTCGATTCTATGTTGTTGTGCCTCTCAAGGCCAAGTCAGATGTCTTTGATGCTTTCAAGAGATTCAAGGCTTATGCTGAGACTCAATTGGAGCGTAAAATCAAGGCTCTGCGCGATGACAAAGGGGGAGAGTACATGTCCAAGGAATTTGAGCAATTCACAGATGACCATGGGATTGTCAGACAGCATACCACCAGGAATCGTCCTCAGCAGAATGGTGTGGCAGAGCGAGCAAACAGACTTCTGACTGAGCGTATCACTGCCATGTTATCAGAGTCTGCATTGCCTAACAGCTTCTGGGGTGAATGTCTGTCCACTTTGGTGCATGTCTGGAACAGGTGTCCCACTGATGCAGTGGCCCATGCCACTCCATTTGAGTTGTGGTATGGACACAAGCCTGATATGTCTCACCTTCGCATTTGGGGCTGCACTGCCTATGTGCATGTGCAAAAGGACAAAAGAGGCGTCTTTGGCTCTCATATGGAGAAATGTGTGTTCATTGGTTACCCTGAGGGATACAAGAGATGGAAATTCTACAATCCTACCACCAAGTGCACTGTTATCTCTGAGAGAGCTGATTTTAATGAGCGCTACTTCCCTGGCTTGAAGAGGTCTTCTGACAATGTCCTGCCTCCACCTCCCACTCCACCTTTGCTATCCATGCCATTGGGCCTGATTGAGGATGTCCCTGCACCAGGTCCAGGGGGAGATATGGGCCCACCAGCTGCACTTCAGCAGCCTTAGCCATTGCCTGACAATGGGCCTCATTTGGACCTTGATGCAAAACCACCTGTGAATCAACCTCCTGAGCTTCCAAATCACCCTCCTCATCGCTCACCTTCTCCTGACTTGCCTATTGCACTAAGACGCCCTGTAAGGGCTAGGAGACCACCTAGACCATGGTGGCTTCAACACAGACAACCTACTCCTGCCATTGAGAGTGATGACAGTGATTCTGAGGCAGTTGATGATGAAGTGGCACACTTTGGAGACTCTGCTGAGTCTAGGTCATTTGCAGATGCAATGAAGCGTCCTGATGCAGATAAATGGAGAGAGGCAGCCATGGAAGAGCTTCAAGCTCATGAGCGCAATGGTACTTGGTCACTAGTGGAACTACCTCCTGGAGTCAAGGTTATTGGTGGCAAGTGGGTCTTCAAGATCAAGCGCAACTCAGATGGCACTGTTGAGTGCTACAAGGCCAGATATGTGGCCAAAGGTTATAACCAGCGCCCTGGCTTTGATTTCCTCAAAATATTTGCACCTACT